TTAAATCTTTCTACAATGATAAATGGTCTTTAACTTTACTATAATGAAAAATATTTCTTAGTTAAAATACAACGACAAATGTTTATTATTGATGATCAACAATAATAAATGGTCTTAAATATTGTTTTTGCTACAGTGATAAATGTTCTTCAACGTTTCGACTGATAAATAAATTTGTTTTTAAAACTTTGCTACAATGATTAATGTTCTTTAAATTTTCTACAATGATAAAATATTTAATCCTTGCTACACTGATAAATGATCTTCAACTTTGCTACAATGATAAATAATCTTTAACTTTGCTATAATGAAAAATGTTTCTTAGTTAAGCTACAGCCACAGCAATAATAAATGTTCTAAAACTTTGCTATAATGAAAAATGTTTCTTAGTTAAGCTACAACGAAAACAATACTAAATGTTCTTAAACTTTGCTATAATGAAAAATGTTCCTTAGCTGAGTTATACAGATATTTATTAGCTGGTCATATGACTGTTCTACAGTGACAAATGATATTTTTTGTAGGTAACGTACAGTTGAACTCTGGTGGAAGTCCCCAAGGTGCATCTCAAGTTCTATCAACAATTCATCTTGGTATAGATAAGGGTGCTGGCCACAGACAGCATGGTGATGCCAAGTAAGATGTTTCATATATGCAATAGATGAAGCCTAGTTTACGAAAGTGATCATAAGCAACATTTCATCAGTTCGCGAAAACCCACCCCTGTTTGGGATATCAATGGGAATGTTAATTTAATACTTAACATATTAGTTGTAATACTGTTGGCTTTTACGTGATCCAGTTTTTAGTCTTAAAACAAAGGTTCATGTTCAATGATTACATATCACAACACTTCAACTGGATAATTGAACAAAGTACCACTTTTTGTTTATTTACATGTTTAAATATACACATGCGCATGAATGTCTTACAGAGTGGCTCCAAATGGTAAGACCTGGGCTGATGGTTTTCATACTTACAGTTTAGACTGGACAGCGGATCATATCAAGTAAGTTTATTAAAAGTCTTTTAAAATTAAATGAATTTTATTGTATTTATCAAGGTTAAAACCCCTTTTAGATGCATTGATCGGATTATTATTGATACTTAGGTTTACTATTTAAATAATTATAACATTGCCAGTTTTATATCGCAACTCATTGACACACCTACGCCCTCCAGCTATACCCTCCTATGGATCCCCCAGTACCCACAATTACGTCACTGTTGTAAGAAAATGAAATGAAATGAGGTGTGGTTTAACGTTCTACTGTTCTGCTCTGATCGGGCTTATGCAGACGGCCATACGTCATACAGTGTGATTTGAGGGAAATTTTGCCCAGACAGCGACGTTTAAAAGAATCCTGTATATTTGTTTTACAGCATAATGATTGATAATCAGCCTGTTCTAGCCTGGAACACACCACCAGAAGGTTATTTTAAACATGACAATTTGAGCGGTAGTGACATCTGGTCGAATGGTGGAAAAGATGCTCCTTATGATACTAATGTAAGGCCAGCTCTTCGAATAAATCATAGCTTTATAGACACCATTTAATTCATTATGATATTGAATTCCTTGGCCGGAGTTATTAAAATTTGGTTGGAGTTATTAATATTTGGATGGAAGAAATTATTCATACAGTAGTTGATTCCAAACGATTTATTATAAAAGAAACCCCTTTAAAATGCAAATAGCAATTTCAGTATCGGGCTGTAAAATATTATGGATATCTCATTTGGTAAATATGGATCAATTCGTGGGTTGGGCTTAAAACGCCGAGCTTTCGTCAGCTTGGCAGGGATATCATTCAATCAAATTTCTGTAATATCTCAGTGGGTGGCTTGTCCAGTTGCCTAACGCATGCGCTTTGGATCAGCTTGGCAGAGGTATCATTCAAGCAAATTTCTGTAATATCTCAGGGGGTGGCTGGTCCAGTGGCGTAACGCATGCGCTTTGGATCAGCTTGGCAGGGGTATCATTCAAGCAAATTAAATTTCTGTAATATCTCAGACGGGTGGCTGGTCCAGTGGCCTAACGCATGCGCATTAGATCATAAGCTCCAGCATTGAGTCAAGTGACGTGGTCTCGATCCTAAGCTTGTGTATAACAAAGTATATTGTATTTTGTCATGAATAGTTCACCGTGCTTCTAGATGTCATTTAAAGAATAGGAAGGATATATGGTTGTCTGTCTAACCCCGCCGGTTTTCTCTGGGTCCCTTGGCTTCCTCTCACTGATAAAGACCGTAACGTGGAAGCGAATTATTGAAATGGCATAGTCTAGTTTGTCTGTCGACTGGATGGGTTACACTGGAAGGTAACCCACCCACACCTCTCTCTCTCTCTCTCTCTCTCTCATTTTAACGGAAAAACATCTACAATTTCGTACTTATATCATTTCTGTTTTCAGTTTGCTTTATTATTAAATGTAGCTGTTGGTGGCGATAGAGGTTACTTTCCAGATGGTTGGAACAATGGTGCTAATGGCGCGAAACCATGGACAAATTTTGCTTCATCATCCATGATGGATTTTTGGAACGCTCGACAATATTGGCAGAAAACATGGCATGGCAATGATGTAGCCATGAAAATTAAAAGTGTCACCATGACGCAATACTAAACACTTACATATCATTTTAAATTAAAACAAATCTGCATTGGGTGTTGTGTGTATGTCTTATTTGTTTGGAATAATACATTGAAATGTTCGATAAGCTACAACAATAATAAATGGTTATATCTAAAAAAAAAAGTTTGGACATTTATTTGTCATACAACTATGAACAATTAATAAAGTCTCCGAACAGTTTCTCTTTATGGTAATGTGTTTTAGATTTTTGAAGCGACATTTTTATGTACACAAGTGACCATGACGTTACCTGCGTTAAATTTGATGGATTTTTGGAACGCTCGACAATATTGGCAGAAAACATGGCATTGCGATGATGTAGCCATGAAGATTAAAAGTGTCACCATGACGCAATACTAAACACTTACATATCATTTTAAATTAAAACAAATCTGCATTGGGTGTTGTGTGTATGTCTTATTTGTTTGGAATAATACATTGAAATGTTTGATAAGCTACAACAATAATAAATGGTTATATCTAAAAAAAAAGTTTGGACATTTATTTGTTATGCAACTATGAACAATTAATACAGTCTCCGAACAGTTTCTCTTTATCGTAATGTGTTTTACATTTTCGAAGCGACATTTTTAAGTACACAAGTGACCATGACGTTACCTGCGTTAAATTTCGAGAAACCGTTAGATTTTTCAAAATCATAGAACTATGCCGTAAGATTAATTGAATTCAATTTTGTTAATTATATGTTAAGCTATGTGTGGAATCGTTTGGGACCAGAATAATTGCGGGTGGGGGGTGGGTGGCTGAATGGTAATTAGCACGTGCGCGCTGTATCATAAAGTCTGTCATTGAGTCAACTGGCGTGGTTTCGAATCCCCGGTTGTACGTGACAAGGTGTAGGGTCACCTGTCCAACCTCGTGGGTTTTCTCCGGGTCCTCCGGTTTCCTCCCACTGCTAAAGACCCCTACGCGCAAGCAAATTATGCAAATAAAATTGAACCATATGTTAGTCCCGAAATGACCTAGTTTGTGTCGAGTGGACGTTAAGCCCCATTTCCCTCTCTCTCTCCCAGAATAATTGGAAATTATATACCAACTTATTTGTAATCAAATCTTGCTCAAAGAAAGTCCTTACCACCCACTACTACCGTGAATGTAGTCAAAGACGGAAGAGATCAATGGTGGATCCATTTCTATATTTTGGTACACATGTATTCTTTGTATTTGTCCTCTTTTGCTCATTCTCATGTTTATCCACCATGTGTAGATTTTTAAGGTCGCTAACCCGAAAGTCTCGGGTTTGCCCCCAGTGTTAGCCGAGAAAGTTTCTCGGGATTTTCCAGCATGGTTTAACCCATGTCAGTGGTACAGGACGAAGGACCTGACAAGGGAAGCGTCTAGTCTTTCAGATGGGACAAAACAATTTACAGATATATTTCCCTCCTGATCCTAATAAATTGCACACACGAATTCCTAAAAGCAGAGTTAATAAATTAATATGGTATGCATATGGTATTTGTCATCTAAATTTATGTTCCTTCCAGTAACTGTATGGTCAAAAGAGACTTGATCCCCGTGGGATTAATGACCATTAATGATTGATAGATCTTATTTTACACCAGGAGCTCAACATTACTAACCTATTTCAGTTTGTTTTGAAATCATTGAAATCTTGTTCGCACTGTCTCGTATAATCTGCAATCTTCAACTGGTCGTTTTGAAATTTACAATGGTTGCCTGTCATATCGACAGGATGACATCTACTGATTTTGAGGACCTCTTCGAATAGTTATGGGCATTTGTTACGAAATCTTGTAAGCACTCTATATTAAGACAAACTATAATCTAGTATAAATTCGATGGACAAATTTATTAGTGAGTGTATGTTTCGTAGCCTGACAACCAATGTCGAAAATAGATTCTTATCTGAAATTGGTATCAACATTGCTTACATTTGACAACCTGGTTTTACATATGCTAAAGTAAAAGTTACAGAAAAAATGTCATCACATATAACACAGGCAGTCAATGGCATAGCCCTAACTTATAAAACAGTTTAATAAAAATAATTTGTACATGTATATAATTTATAATCTGAAATTCATGCCTACAAATCTGGCCTTCGTTTGACAACCTAGTGTAACCCTCTAAGCCAGTTTACTTCAGCCGACAGTGGTCACCGCCGTTGCCCCCTCTGGCCCTAAACAGACGCATCCGCTACCAAGTGTCTATTCCTCGTTTTTAAAACAGCTGTCAATATTAAAATTGAACGTGTATTTAGTTCTGTAAGATAATCATCTGCCTAAGATATGACCCGATTCCTTGATAAGATTCGGGGCCAGACACGTATAAAGCTTATATAAATGCTTCATATCTAAATTGTATCTTATTAGTACCATTGTGACAGACACGATGTTGTCTTTAAACGTGTTTCTATTTTTAATACCTTTAGTTTTTACTGAATCTTTAATACCTACAATTAAACCACGAATTAATAAAGATGAGCAAGGACGCATATCATTTCACATACATGGTAAATATTTTTTTTTATATTCCATTATTATTTGAAGTGTAATTACAGGAGTCAATTTGTATATTTGGGTTTTTCTGACTGTTATGTGACCGGGTTTCCTTAACCCTTGTGCCGGACACGTCGCACGAAAAAGGTTGTCGACAAAAAGGGGTGATCTAAGACCCAGACATAAATAGGTTTTTGTATGCATAATTTTATACAAATATGATCAAACTAGAGCTTCATATAAAGACTGAAGAATAACCAATCAAAGTAAGAAAAACAAATATTTGAGGTATTAACAATGAAGATATGAATTATAAGGTATTTTTGAAACCATCAATATCTGCAAATAGCTTAATTGTCATTTCCATGTAGAATCGTCTTTTGACGGGATTGGTAGAATACCTAGATTTGTTTTCAGATCTACATTATTAGAATGATCAAAACAATATCATCAGTAAGAACGATTCCAAATACAGAGCTTGCACTGAGCACAGAACAGATTAGGCACTTGTAACCAGCAAAATGTTAAAGGAAAGAAGAGAGGGGCCTACAAGTCCCCTTGTTTCCGATAATGTAATACTTTTAGTTTCTTATCAAATGGTGAATGTTGCCACTGCCCCACTTCCGTTCTATTTGCAGCATTATAACCGACGTTAAGTAGCTGAAAATGTATAAATTTCTCGCTAGACAATTATGAACCAATTCCTCATAAATGTTAAGGATATGGTCGAGGGGTCCTGAAATACCCTTTGTATCCGCACAAGGGTTAAGAAATCTCACCAGGGAGACGACCCTTTTCTCAAATGTACGAAATGTTGCGGGAACCATTTTCAACAATCAAACTGTGAGGGCACAAACGGTAAAGATCACGAAGTAATGGAGCTCCATCCATTATCCTAACCGTACGTTCATGTGTTATTAATGTGTCGAATGCTTTAGGCCAGGCAGCTATTTAAGGTTCTTTTCGCTGCCCTTGTTCCTAAGGTCAACATCCACCACGATTTTAGATATTTCTTACCGCCATGTTCTTCTTGGGCGGTGGTTCTCAGCCTTTTTTTTTACCAACGGCACACCTTGGAACACATGAAAAAATAGCGGCACACCTGGCTAAATATATATATATATGAAAACCGTAGACCGAGACTAGCCATAGACACATAGAATGACTTAAACTAAATAAAGAAAAACACAAGCTATGAACTATCAGTGAATACGCAATTGGGATCACGTGGTTTTTCGCATTTTCTAAGTGTGCCGTTCACACTTCTTGGGTAATGTGTCGGGCTGTTTTCGCTAAATACTAACCGTGTTCGCCGGTTGGCTAGCATGCTTGTGTACAGTTACGTCACATGCTATTTACTTTCAGATTTTCATATGGAACCTATTTTATAACAGCCAAGAAATGATTAAATATTTATCCTATTTCGTCACACCCGGTTTCCATTGCATTTCATTTAGGTTTATTTCATTTTTACTCTTTGCATGCCAGAATGTCGATTCTCAGACAGCTTTATATTAAAACTAATAACCGAGTAGCCATATAATTGAATTATAATATTTATGATATATTTCAGATGAACCTGGTAATTTGATAGAAGTTATTGTAACAACTGAAGTCAACAAAGATGTCAACATTGGTAAAGCAACTCTTAATAAAGGTTGGTCTGTTTAGTTTAGATATCCTAGACAACTGTACTATTCTTCATAATAATGCATTTAATGTACTCTGTAGCAACACCGACAAGGGACTACCGTTCATAGACTGTGTTAAATGTTTCTATCCCAGACAGCTTTAATAGTTATCTGAGACCAAGGAATACTTGATAAGGGCGTTCTTAAGCCCATTTAGTATAAACAAATGATTTTATGATATACTATTCAAAAAAAGTAGGGGATATTTGATTTTGGGGGCATAATACTAAAATATGCAAATGACTACGAAAAAAGTCACTATAGAACCTAACAGAAGAAACATTTCCAGTTACATGTGACGCCCAAACGCACCAATAGCTACCGCATGGAATGCAGGTGATGCTTGGGATCATCATGGTGTCCAACCCAAGATTTGCACGACTCTGACTTTGAATGTTACAGTCATTCTGGCATTGAATTCCAGGGTGGAAACATCAGTTTAATTGTTTAAGTGACCAGAAAACAAATTTTGATATGCGACGGCTTACCCAAAATGAAAGGTTACGTGCCCTTGGCATGCTACAGATCGGCACAACACAGGCGATTGTGGCGCGGACGATGGATGTTTCTCAGTCTGTCATAAGCAGGCTATGGTCCAGATACCGTGATACACAATCTGTACAGGACAGACCACGCTCAGGTCGACCAAGGGCGACAACTCAAGCCCAGGATCGATTTATCCGTACCTTGGCCTTGAGAAATCGTGTCATCACAGCAAATCAGATCAGCGCTCGTCTTCAAACAGACACTGGTGTGAGAGTGAGTGGCCAGACGATTCGGAATCGACTGCATAGGGGTCACCTTCGCGCCCGACGTCCTCGCGTGATCCCTTGTTTGAGAGATCATCACATTCAGGCAAGACGTCGTTGGTGTAGGGATCGTCAACACTGTGATAATCGACGCTGGAGCAATGTGATGTTTTCAGATGAGTCAAGGTTCACTGTTGATTTTTTGGACAGACGTAGGAGGGTGTGGCGTCGTCGAAACGAGCGCTTCCAAGACGTTAACGTCATCAGACATGATCGATTTGGGGGTGGTTCTGTTATGGTGTGGGGAGGCATCACTGTTGCTGGAAGAACGGCTTTACATGTTGTTGCAGGGCGTGTTACAGGCCAGTACTACCGGGACAACATCTTGGCAGTCCATGTTGTGCCGTTCGCACGACGTCATGGCCGCCGTTTCATCTTCCAGGATGACAATGCAAGATGTCACAGGGCCAGGATCGTTACAGGGTACCTCCAACAACAGAACATCACCACATTACCTTGGCCAGCACTGAGTCCCGACCTCTCCCCCATCGAGCATGTCTGGGACATGCTTGGACAGAGGTTACGTCAACGTCAACAACGTCCTGCCAATGTCCAAGAACTTGCTGCTGCGTTGCAACAGGAATGGGACAATCTGGACCAAAATGACCTTAGACGTCTCATTAGGAGTATGCCACGTCGGATCAATGCTTGTTTGGCAAACAGAGGAGGATTTACCCGTTACTGACTTGGTTGTGATGCTGTGGTAACTTTGCTGTTTGACCCCGGGTATCATTTTACCCTTATAATGGTCAGTCTGTGCCTTACTTAGTCTAACGATCATTTGGAATAAATCGATGAATGTGAACTTCATTTCATTTTGTCATTTGTTTCTTCGTCAGTTTCATTAGGTGACTTTAATAAAACTTAAAAATCAAATATCCTCTACTTTTTTTGAATAGTATATATAAATAACAAAGACCTCAAGGTTTATTGGCCAGAAGACAAACTAATTATTGTGCTGATGCTGCAGATAAATATGCTATTCCAGTAATAACATTAAGAAAGGGAAGACAGCTAATTTCATTTTTATTTCCATTTATTTTCCAGCGAGTAATGAATGGGATTACAGTACCTCGTATTACCAACAAACAGATGTTGATCAACTACGGTATATGATTAGTTATATATTTAATACAGCATCCAACTCACAGAAAACATATCATGGCACAATCCAGTTTAACTCAGGTAATTAAAACTCACCGACATATCTCGATACAGCCCAGCCAAGTTTAACTCACGCAGTTAAAGCACTCATTGTGTTTATTTCGTCTCTTAAGACATTAAATATGTGACATTGTGGCATACAACCGGAAAGGACCACTAGGCTCAGTAGTAGTATAGACAGTTTCCATACTTTTATATGCTGTTCTCTGTTGTCTATATCTAACATTTCTATAGATTTCTAACCGACGTTATAGTAAGATATTAAACGAAACTGATTTCTCTCAGGAACAGCCGTTCAACCAGCTCCCCATCCTCTAAGTAGAAGAGGAACTGTCGTGTTTCATGATGATTTTAATGGTCATACGTTAGATAAAAATAAATGGTATCATGAAGTCACTGCGAATGGTGGAGGGGTGAGTAAAATACTAATTGTCCACACGCCATGATCTTCATCCTAAAACTGATTTATCACAAAGCGGCACCATGGATAGAATTTTCCTTGTTCACGAGAATGATCTGAACAGAAGCATTCACCGTTATAATTGCTTAACCAATACAAAATAATATTGGTAACGTGTCATTACCATGGTAGATAATAAAACAAACTAAGTTATGGATACGACGTGATTTATTAAGATTAAACTGACTTATGAATCCAAACAAAGGGCGATAACTCATAATTTGAAATTCAATATAGATAGGTTATATACTGAGCGCCATGGAAAACGCATCACTTTTTTTTCCCAAATATTTTATTACTAGGTTGTTTTTATATGTATAATATTATGCAATAATATGAACTATTGTTTCACACTATGCTCCCAAACGCAAAAAATATCGGCCCGTGTGCAAAAAAAAAATTGCACGAGATGCACATGAAAAACCCAATATTCACGTGCAGCATTGTGTGTGAGCCCTTTAAAAGCATGTTTTCAACTTAATGTGCAGTACATGAGCTGTGAAACGTCAATCTGTCGTAATTTTTGGTTGGACGTGTGGAGGAATCGAGCTAGAGATGCCAAGACTTACTGAATATCAACGGAATGAAGCCATGGGAATGTCCAGGTCTGGCATGTCTCCACGTGCTATTGTCAGACACTTCAATTGTCATCAGTCCACTATTGTAAGGTTGGTGGAACGTGTTCGAGTTACTGGATCAACACGTGACCGTCAACGTCCTGGTCCACAACGCGTTACAACCCAGGTTCAAGACCGCTACATCCGGGTCACTCATCTGCGTGACAGATTCCGCCAGCGACTCGAACAGGTGCAGCAGTGGTCGGAAGACAAGGACCAGTAAGTGCCAACACCGTAAGACGTCGTCTAAGAGAAGTAGGACTCCGTGTACGGCGACCTTATGTTGGAGCTATCCTCAGGGATCATCACCGTCAGCGGTGTTTGATATGGGCTCAAGGACACCAGACATGGAGAAGAGTAGACTGGCAAAGTGTGCTCTTCAGTGATGAGAGTCGCTTTCATCTTTATGACGCTGATGGCCGTCAACGTGTATGGAGAGGTCTTGGGGAACGTCTTGCAGACTGCTGCGTCTTCGAAACGAATCGATGGGATGGGGGAAGTGTAATGGTGTGGGGAGGCTTCACATTTCATCACCGGACCGCCCTACACATTTGTAGGGGTCGCGTTAATGCTGTAGCCTACCGCGATGATGTCTTGCAACCAATTGTTGTTCCGATGTTTCGAGCGCACCCACAACTTCAGCACTTCCAACAGGATAATGCACGTCCGCATACCGCCCGTTTTAGTATGGACTACCTGGCTGCTAACAACATCAATGTCTTGGACTGGCCAGCCATGTCTCCGGACATGGCACCGATAGAACATGTCTGGGATGGGATTGGACGCCGTCTGTATCGGAGACCACAGATGCACACCATTGCTGCTTTAGAAGCTGCTCTTGTCCAAGAATGGAACATTTTCCCCAGGCCTTCTTTCAAACATTGGTAAATTCCATGCGACGTCGCTGCACAGCGTGCGTAAGAGCCCGTGGAGGACACACGCGCTACTGACATCTGTGTCGTACTTTTGGTTTTGACCCCTCTGACTTTGTACCCTTGATTACAGATTAAACATCCATAAGTGTACAAATGTGTTGTTATTGATGTGTTCCCATTTGAATATTGTTCACAATAAGAAGCAAAATAAATAAGATATGTTTACAGGATCATTTTGTTATACGAAAAACTAAGTGATGCGTTTTCCATGGCGCTCAGTTTCATTAATTGCTTGGCATTACCTAACACTCAATGTATTAATCTGTTTCATCCTGCATATACACCCTTATGTGGGGGAACGGAATTATTTACAAAATATCATTTTCAGAATGGCGAGTTTCAAGTGTATACAGCAGAGGCAGCTAATACTTTTGTCAGAAATGGTGTCTTATATCTGAAACCTGTAAGTATTATTTGTATGTACTCAAGTTTATATTTCGTACTAAATGTTTTGATGAATGTGTTTGTTTCTAGAATTTCTGATGCCGCTTCTAATTTTTGAATATTGAAATATGCTAATTTCAGATATGCTACTTATTTAAAATCGGTAGGCAGTGTAATATTATATTCTTATTGTAATCTTATATGCCACATTCAGTTTTTTAGTCTGTTAATATACAAAAAAGGACGGGTTATATAATATACCCAAAATTTAAAAATTAAGTCAAATACATATACAACATATCATCTGGTAAACATCCAACACAACCTTTTGTTAGAACAATTACAGAAAATCATTAGAACGCCGCGGTAATTTAAGAATTTAAACGATGAAATAGATAACCGAGACATAGTCTCGATTGTCAAGTACCGTTGCTACGATAATAAACAATCTATGATAATAAACTTTAAACACTCATAACTTCGCACAGAGTAATGTAATTTGATTCAGTTTTCCAATATAATAAATAAATAGTTTATTCCAGTAAGTAGGTCTAGGACCCATAGTTACAAAATATAATTATATACAGCAGTGATTTAACGAATACTAAAAAAAGAAATAGTAGACATATAAATATATATACATAAGGAGAATTCTAAATGTAGTTTGATTTATAACTTAAAGCGACATTGATAAAATGTGAAACTGAAATTAAAAGAGATTTACTTTTAGTTGTACATAACTAATGGAACATATATCTAGTATTGTTCACATTATTAACAAATTTTACAGGTATGTATTTATATCTAATATGACTCAATTTTATACATACAAATAAAAAATGAATATTATCTTCATCGCTTATCTTACATAATGGACACAACGGATTATCTTTCATCTTTCTATTAAACAAAGTTGTGGCTAATGGTAAAAGATTCAACCTTAGTTTAGTGATATTCCTTTTAACATTTAAATTCATCTCTATATATTCCAATATATTCCCTTTTCATGATCTATTTTTGAAGTATCGTAGCAAGAACAGTCAGTTCCTATTCTAATGCTTACATTCTCCATCTTTAATCATTCAAATATTTTATATTTTCCAGACACTTACGTCCGATAAATTCGGTGAAAGTTTTTTGCATAGTGGAACCTTAGACCTCAACGGTACGTATTTTGAATTTATTATTTTACACGTTTCTTCTGAAAAAATGTTTTCAGGATAGATATCGTGTTGAAAGAAATCCATGTCTACTTTGTCCGCCCTGTTTCCCCTGTTAAAGCAAATGTATGTTTTCAGCTCAATTTGGTTCCTGTACTGCCAGTTGGGAAAATGGTTGTCTCAGAAAAGGAAGTCAGCATAACATACCACCAATTATGTCATCCAAAATCTACTCAAAAGCCACCATCAGACATGGTAGAGTCGATGTCGTCGCTCAAATACCAAAAGGCGATTGGCTATGGCCTGGTAAGTAAATACAGATTTGGCGTCTGAAATTCAATCACCGCTCCATTTTTCAACACAAAAATAGTATGTAGCCTCGTAACTTTAATCGAATCATGGAAATTTTTGCACTGCTGGTCGTATGCGTTATAACTCCATCTCCATGCTAAGAGCGAGAGAAAGACTACGGATATTAACACACACTCGACACAAACAAGATTATTAGCTATGGGAGGAAAATTACGAAGTTGGACATGTAAGTCTACTCCTTGTTACATACACGTGTGGGTTCGAAACCACAGAACTCGACTCTAAAGCCCACGCATTATTTTTGTTTTCTTGTAGATATATTCATTCTCAAAATATACAAAATACATAATTCATTTTCAATTTATAAGGATAATCTCACATCACAGGATATTTACAATTTAAAAGTTGTATATATAAATATATCCACACATATACACCCACCCATACATATACATATACATATACATACATTTGAATAAAGGCATATTTATCGGTTGATATATCATTTAGAATATAACTATTTTGTTTAGGTTAAACTTTACCTGTGATAAGTAATAATAATGTTAATATATATAGTCAAAATAAGATCTACTGTCGAGTTAAAATCACGTTAAACCATTCGGCCATTCAGCATTAACTAATTATCTCGATATGAATGGTTCTTTCTTTTTTTCATGGAGAAACCCCGAGCCGAAAATATATTATTTATACTAACTTTTACTTCAGCAATATGGATGCTTCCTCAAGGTACAAACTGGAAATATGGTGGCTGGCCCAGATCCGGTGAAATTGACATTATGGAATCACGTGGTAAGAAAACTACTATAACAATAAAGCTGTAATGTTTACTTTTCAAATTAATTTCTCTTGTCGTGTACTAGATATTCTCAACGACCAATGAAACACGAAGTAAACAAAACGATACATTCCACCAGAATACGTTTGTGGTTATCGATGGCTGCATCCAATCAAAAGTCACCGTTTGTCGTTAGATCATTAAATGACCTAAATGGACACTCTTGCGCAGTATTTAGTTTATCAACGTTTTCTACGGGAAAGTGCAGATTTGATCAATTACTAGCCTCTGTACCTATATCGGCAAATTGCTACAATGATAAATGTTCTTAAACGTTTCTACACAGATATTTTTTTTTTTGGAAAAATGTACACAATGATATTATTTTTAAATTTATACAATGATAATTTTTATATAAAAAAAAATATATAATCTTTAACTTTTATACAATGATCAAATGTTATAAACTAAAATGCTAAAATGATAAATGTTTCGTAGCTAAGCTACAACAATAAATGTTTCTTAGCTAAGCTACAACGACAAATGTTTATTAGCTGATCAAAATAATAAATGTTCTTAAACTTTGTTAGATGAAAAATGTTTCTCGGATCTTTATTAGCTGAGCTATAATAATAAATAGTATATATTTTTTTTGTAGGTAACGTACAGTTGAACTCTGGTGGAAGTCCCCAAGGTGCAGCTAGAGTTCTATCAACAATTCATCTTGGTACAGATGGTGGTGGTGGTCATAGACAGCATGGTGAGGGCAAGTAAGATGTTTCATATATACAATAAATGAAGCCTAGTTTACGAAGATGATCCCAAACACGCTAGCTCGCTAGCCTGGAGGTCGGGTGTTCGATCACTGCATTGGCCGAGAAAGTTCATCCAGATTTTCCGGCGTGGTTTCCCCTTGTCAGTGATGCAGGACGGAGCCCCCCCCCCCCCCATACAATAAAGGGGAATCGAGCAAGCATACACTGAGAAAAATCGCTCGATGACCCTGACTTTAGTAAAATCACGAGCGTGGTATGTTTCTATATATATATATGTGAACAGATATGAACAGTATATGAACAGATATCGAAAATTTCTTATTAAGATCGTTTATTTTTTACTTTAAACACCCCAACCCCTCCTCACCTAATAAAATTTAGTACCGCGAAACCTTGATCTTTTTTCAAGGTATGTAAATATAAATGTGCCAGAAAATAACTTGAAATGTTGTACGGTCTCAAACCCTATTAAATATATTTTTTTCTTTTTTCTTTTTTTTTTACTTATTCCCTGAGAAATGTTTTTAGGGAAATGTTTTGCAAAATTTGTATTTGGAGATTTGTATTTGGAAATTTGTTGTTCGAGATTTGTTTTTCCCTCCAGTGTATGTCTATGATGAAATGTAAATGTATCTTTATATTAAAATACGATCAAATTAAACAAAAATACATTTTACAAATCTGATATGACAATTAAATGTCTGATTTGTAAAACAAATATTGACTTTAAGATACAAATGTTAATTTTAGTGTACAGATGTCGGAATACGACAACAAATGAAGAAATAAGAATTAAGGACTATGAAGAACACCAAATAAAGAGCTGTTTGTTCTTCCATACAGAAGATGCTTATAATTTACAAGGCACATTGTTTGAACTGTGGGGGAACATTTTTTAGTTTTTAAACATGCGCATTAATGTCTTACAGAGTGGCTTCAAATGGTAAAACCTGGGCTGATGGTTATCATACTTACAGTTTAGACTGGACAGAGAATCATATCAAGTACGTTTATTACAGGTCTTTTAAAAATGAATGTATTGTATTGTTATTATCAAGTTTAGAAACACCATTAAATCTGTGATTGATCGGATTATTATTGGTACCGCTTAGAATCAGGAAAATTAGAACTACTCGTTCACTGCACCCAGCGACATTGATTGTAATACTTTCTCAATTTATCACCCAATAATACATTTTACATTAGATATCGCTTTACATGAATTTGATTGGTTAATTAAAAAGAAACTACTTTTTTTTATTAAAAAGGAATTATTTTTTGGATCCAGTAATACTGTTGGAGAAAAGTTCCCAATTACCATAAACAATTACAATACTTCCTATAACCATAAAGGAAACAGTTGGTCAATATATAGCACTTAGCATTGGGTGACTTGCTGTCAAAATATGACGTACATGTGTCACTAAGCCGTAATGTAATCAGGTTCAGTAAAATTAAATCTATACCAAAGAATTATATCTACTTATGTGTGCGCATAAGAACGGGTTGGGTGAAAAATAAATCATACCCGTCTTTGTTTATATCAAAAATATCAACACTCGTCGATAAAGTAAAAAAGACTCTGTACTTGCTTGAAAACGTTGAGAGAATACTCTTCGAAACGTCGCCCAAATAAATCAGTAATTGTTCTTCCATAAGTATGTGTTATAGTTTAAAAAAGACTCGACAAAGTCTCATTCTTTTTACTATATGGACTTGTGTTGATATTTTTTGATATGAAAAAGACTCGTAGGAGATTCTTTATTTGTTTACTATGGAAGCAAGCTTTAGGGAATTTTCTTTTTGTTCGTTTAAAAGAATCTTGTATCCTTGTTTCACAGAATGATGATTGATAATCAACCTGTTTTAGCCTGGAACACACCATCAGAAGGTTATTTTAAACATGAAAATTTAGGTGGTAGTAACATCTGGTCGAGTGGTGGAAAAGATGCTCCTTTTGATACAAATGTAAGAGCACCCTTTGGAATAAACTGTATAATGAATTATGATAATGAATTCTTTAGTTAGAGTTATTTGGATGGAAGCATTATTCAAATGATTTCATGAAAAAAAAACTTGCAAACAGAAATAGCATCTTCAGTATTTGGTTGTGAAATTTCCTCTATATCACATTTGGCAAATATGGATCAATTAGTAATTTGGGCGGAAAAAGCAGAGCAGTCTTAGTGGGTATTAATTGATATGAAATTATACCACGTGTTAGACCCAAAATGACATAGTCTAGATTGTGTCTAGTGGAGGTCCTCTCTCTCTCTCTCTCTCTCTCTCTGAAATCTCTGAAATCTCTGAAGTGTGTTTTACACAAACACATTCTAACGGAAACATTTACATTTATTTTACAGATATTGGCTACTTATGTATCAATTCTATTTTCAGTTTGCTTTAATATTAAATGTAGCTGTTGGTGGAGATAGAGGTTATTTTCCTGATGGTTGGAACAATGGTGGTAATGGTGCGAAACCATGGACAAATTTTGCTTCAACCGCCATGATGGATTTCTGGAATAACCGTCAACAATGGCAGAAAACATGGCATGGCGATGATGTAGCCATGAAAATTAAGAGTGTCACTATGACGCAATACTAAACACTTACCTATCATTTGAAAATAAAACAAATCTGCATTGGGTGCTGTGTGGATGTCTTATTTGTTTGGAATAATACATATGTGTTTTTAGTTGACGTAAGGGATTAGCCAATGAAACGGTCTGCTACAGCGAGTTCTTGGCGTAAGGTGCACGGAACTATTGGCATTCCCCTAGAAACATCAACGCTGGGTTTTCATAGTTGTCTTGGTGGCGTACTGGTATATTTAGCTTTTAATAAATTACACATATGAATTCCTAAAACCAGAATTAATAAATTAATATGGTATTTGTCCTCTAAATTTATGTTCTTTTCAGTACCTGTAAGGCCAAAAGAGACTTGATAATCGTGGGCCAAAGCTGCTAACTAATTAAAGATGCATTATGTAAGAGCTAAATCCGCCTACTGCAGATCTTTCGTTTGGCCTCAAATGTTATACAGAGCATTACAATAGACATTTATTCACATGTAGGACTATCGGATCTTTAATCTCCACGTTGTATTCTCTTCCAACAAACTAGAATTAGCGTTAGTCACAATTCTTCCTAGTCTCAAATACGTATATGACTGATATGACAGGCGGTGTGAGTTCTGCCGGATGCTACCCCCCCCCCCGCCCTCTCCTTTATAGGTGCCGACTGACGTAGGCTAATTAGAAATTTTCCACTCATGTGTATTTCAAAGAATAACAACTTATCCTTGAAAAATGCAAATGACCAGCATGTTTACAAACCTATACCTGCGTTAAGGTATCTAAATAACCAGCCTGCTTTCTATATTTTTGATCATGAACTTAGAATCAAACATTTGTAAAGATAACAACATTGTTTCAGTCATCATATTTCTCTATTCCATGTCCTGTTACTGTCACAATATTTCATAAACAATTTAATTTGCGTTTTCAAAATACAATCATACCATAACTAATATACTAACAATGGAGAATACAAATAAAACAATGTCGCAACGAAAATATTGTTACACAAGTCCATAATCAACTCTCTATGCTACCTGCTGGTTTTGATGTTCAACGGATTTAAACATGATGGTAGCAATGACAACCGAAACTACAGAATGAAGTATTTTGACTGAAATTTTTAATATTCCCTTTCCTATCATCTCTTTATCTAAATCTCACATAAAACATGTTTTTAAGTTACAAGTTTAGATTAATGACCATTTCATTGATAGATCTCATTTTACACCAACAATTTAGGTCATCAAAAATAACCCATAACCGTTTGTTTTGAAATCTTGTTCTGGAATTTACATTGGTTGCCGGTCATATCTACAGGATGAATTCTATTGATTTTTCGACCAACTCTCCTAAAGTAATTGTCATTTGTTAGGAAATCTTGTTAGCAATCTATATCACCACAAAATATACTATATGTATAGTATAGATTCGGACGACAAAGTTATTAGTGAGTGTATGTTTCCTGTCCTGACAAAATATGTTTGCGTATGTGATCGAAATATGTAACTTTTTAAAAACATATAGTTTCTTATCTGAAATTCGTTTCGACATTGCTTACATTTGACAACCTGGCTTTACTCCCAAACTAAAGGTTGACTTTTAATATGCTTAAGCGGTAGACACACTAGACGAATCATTCGGTCGAACACATTAGGCCAATTCTCAGCCGATTCACCTTTCACGTCACATGATTAAATATTGCAGCGACCATGTCTTCAAACAATCGAATTCGGCCGAATAATACTGGACACACATTTCGGCTTGTGTGTCCACCGCTTAACATTACAGATAAAACGTCATAACAGGTAGTTCAAACAATCAGTGGCATAGCCGCTGACCCATGAAACAGCTTTGTAAAAAAAATATAACTTCTAATCTGAAATTTGTGTCTGCGAATCTGGCCTTCGTTTGACAACCTGGTACAACTCCCAAACAAATCATTGTCTTTAAATATGCTATCGTTACAGATAAAACGCCAGATTACATTTAATTTGCAGATAGAGCAAATATCATGGACAGGGCCGCCACCTAAAATGAACTGAGTAAAGCCAAATTTTCTTTTCCCAGAAAATATGTTTGATATGTATTTATTGTGTTTTTCGTGTTTCGGGGTGGAGTGGGGTTGGTGTAGCCTACAGTCCATGACAAGGCTTACCATAAAAACTTCACTCATCAACAATGGAAGTCTGACCATGTTTGATTTTTGAAGATATAACCATTTGAACATGTGTTTTTAAATTGCTGAAAATATGATCGGCTCCCATTATCAAAGGAGTTAACTCTTAGTGACAAAACGGGTTATGGTTCTTGGTTGTATTAAAATTTTTAACTTTGCTCTGGAACGAATACTTAATTCGGGATTCTTCGTTTTTTTAACGTACGCACAAATAACGATTGTATTGAATTAACGTTTCTACGCACGCTCCACTGACAAGGCGGAACCACGCCGGAAAATCCCGATGAACTTTACCGGTCAACAAAGGGATCCAACACGGAACCACCGGGTTATCGAGCCAACCTCTTACTCATTCTAGTCAGCATGGCTCCAGAAATCTAAAAGGGCTCGGAACATCAATAAAAATAGAAGAAAACCGAACACATGTATTTCCAGATCCCTTTTTTAATCTAACTGTTAAAATGATATTTCTATTCGATAAATATGCTTATGGGGGTGGAGAGAGAGAGGGAGAGAGAGAGAGAGAGAGAGATGAAACTAAACAACTCAACATTTTCGGCTGACTTTTATAAATGCCTTAGACCATAGTAAAACTTTCGAATAACGGGAAATTCGTGGTTTACCATATAAACGCAATATGCAGTAACTACTTACCATACTCATATTGTAGATGTTAAATATCCTTTATAATAATCCTATTATGTTTCCAATAATTATCCCAGCCATTTATGAAAATAAATGCACATCTAAAACAGAGCACATGACACACAACCTAAAAGGATTAGAATTCGACCAGTACCGTAAGTTTACTTTAATCATACAAGCCTACGGAAATACATTCGTTCAGTTAATTTCCGGTCTCAATTGTTTGTGTCTATTTAGAGCTAGCAGCAACGTATCTTCTAAAGTCACGGAGTCGGCAACTAACAACATGGTTTTAGGCTTATATAAAAGTAAATTTCACAATCTTACGGTGTCGGTAATTTGGCGCGAGAGTGAGTTTAAGAGATAGAAAAAGAGCGAAACTATATGAATTGACTCGAAACCGAAAACCGTTACAATAATATACGTCATTGGTTACAATCAACTAAATAAGAAATAAAATCCCTGGGTTTTGGCCAAAGTTTTAATCAAGTTCGTAACTACGTATTTTTAAAAGTCGAACGTGTAAAGAGAGAGAGAGAGAGAAATGGGGTTTAACGTCCACTCGACACAAACTAGGTCATTTCAGGACTAAGATATGGTTTAATTTTATTTCAATAATTCGCTTGCGCGTAGGGGTCTTTAGCAGTGGGAGGAAACCGGAGGACCCGGAGAAAACCCACGAGGTTGGACAGGCGACCCTACTCCTTGCCACGTACAACCAGGGATTTCAAACCACGCCAGTTGACTCAATGACAGACTTTATGATACAGCGCGCGCACGCTAACCATTCAGCCATCCACCCCCCCCCCCTCCCGAACGTGTAAAGAAGAATTTGTTATTCATGGCTTCATTGATAAATAAGTGAATGAATATTGTCATGTAAATGTCTATTTCGGGCAAATGTTTGCTGCCTACAGTGCACGTGCGACCCGGTGACTGCTTATCCCAGTCCTGGTGATTACACAGATGAAACGGTTCGATAAGAAGGTGAGTTTCTAAGCACAAGTATTTGAGAACTGTGAACCACCTATATTGTTTTCAATATTGTGTAGGCGTGGCCAGGAAAACCAGATGTAATTGTAAATTCTTCCATATAATGATCACCGCCGTCATGGATAGATCCCCTTGAATAATTCTGTGGCATAGACGACGCAACCAAAGAAGAAATTCCCGATCCTTACATATGTTGAACCGATCGTGCTGAAGAACCATCTCCGTGTGTCGGCTCCTTATCAAGTAGATAGGGTGTGAACACTTAGAAATGACTTATGGACTTTCCAAGGAGGTTTTTTCTGCTACGACCAATTGTGGTGCCGAAATCATGCAGTCATATAGACGAAATCTGCGATCTCATTCTCGTGATCCAGGACTCTCTGTACGTATTTTTCTGCCTGATTTGGTCAATCCCCAGATGTGCCGAAGCTAAATCCTGTACTTGGACATCCGACGATACCTTGGTAGCAACATAGATCAATCGGATGGTTTAAAGACTTCTCTACCCAGCATCATTTTATTGGCTGTGTAACCAGTGTTCGGGTTTACCATGGAGTGCAAAGACATAGCAAGTAAGGAGATGTACTTCTCCCAATCTTTATTTCTGCCATTAATATGGCATCTTATCATTTGCAGAATAATACGATTGGAGCGTTTAACTTGTCTGTCGGAAGAAGGGTGATAGGAGGTAGTCCTGGTCTTGGCAATTTCAAACAGAATGCAGAATGCCTGGAACAAAGATCCTGATAGTATGTACTTCCACTGGACAACCAAACGTCACGATGAAATGAATAAGAAACTAGTGAGCAACACGTTGTGAACTGGTCCATCATGGCTAAAATATATTTATTTCCCTGTTCGCTGGTTTGGTGAAAACCCTCAAGAAAGGAGGTCAAAAGTGGTGAACCTTTGTATTGTTTGTTTGTTTTTGTTTTGTTATGATTGCATGCGGGACAGCCTTGAATCCCGATTTCAGGTTATGACAATGACCGAGTACTTCATTTCTTATTGGAGAAGGCGCAACGTAGCAGAGATGATTCCTAGCGATAGTAAAGTACCCCCAAATGAAACTCCAGCTGAGAATGACAAGACCACAAAGCTCTGGCAGACGGAGCATTTAATTTAAGCTCGGATTCAGTTGGAGCTTGCAGGGCGGAGGGACGGAAAGGACAGCTGTCTAGTCGTTCGGATTGCACGAAAACTCGATTTGCAGAAGATTTACAGGCTGTAAATTTATTGTCATATTTAAATAAAGTAGAAATAAACTATTGTAAATGTATTTATAGTATATAGTGTAAAAGGAAACACTAAACTTGGGCAGTGCATCAACAGGACTGTAAGCTATCGCGGTAATGGAACCAACAAAAAGTTAGTTTTTCCGTGACGTGCAGATGGATTAGGATTATATATATAGTGAATATTGCTGTAACTACTTTTGCCTTTACTAGGCTACACGTTTGGAGATTTTCATGACGTGTAATACTTAAGAAATAATAACAAGATCAAATACCCAAAATATAATATATTTTATTCTTACCACAACAATCAAAACACAAATCAACTTCTTTAAATTTCAATACACCGGCAATCGAGTGCATAACCACAATGGTGTGACCCACTTATGATCGCTATTATGACGCACAATATCACACATTGATAGAAATTATAATCCAAATAGCAAATATAATGATTGTGAATCAAAATACTCACGACACAGTCAGAGGCGTAGCCGTGAAATATATATTGGGGGGGGGGGGGCGACCCTAACCCCTAACCCTAACCCATTTTTTAAAACCCCTAAAAAATATAAACAAACACCATGTGGCCATGCTGTCTACCAAGACACCGCGTTATGGTTACGTTGCTGGCCGAGCGGGAGACAAATATTTGGTTTAGGCGGTAATGTTTTTGGGTACCTACATGCAATTCCCTCTGATAAGTGGCAGAAAAAAATTAACAAAATATTACTGACAGACTAACTAGACACAATTTTATGGAATACAGGTACTTTTCACTTCACACATGTTTCCAGGACGATTATCTCTGTGTTTTACTTTAGCAATGTAAACCATATTGGGATATGTGCAGGTTTTATACAGATAGAATCTTAACCAATCCTAATAATTGTTATAAATAAATAAGAGTTTGGGCCCACTATCTAAATTTTTGGGGGGGTCCAAGTATATTCAGACCCCCCCCCCCCGGAAAAACAATTGGGGGTGTCGGACCCCCCCCCCCCCCGACCCCCCTCCCCCCCTCCCCCCATGTGTGACGTCCATGGATGCAGTATACTCAATACCGACTTTTACAAATTCGTGATATGGCTTACGCCAAGTACAGTCGTGACCGGCAACTTACTTAGCTTAAATAGCAACAACTGTACCTTGAAGATTCGTAGTAAAAATAACTAATTCCGGTGGTCACGTGACATCCTTACCCAGCAATCACGCGACATTCACCACACTTGTGTTGATATTTGTCGTGTTTGTAATATCTTTTGTATGTGAAACTTCACAGGGTTTTTACCACTTTGCCCATTAGAGTAACATCGTTCCAGGACATCATCGCTCTTTGATATTATTTGTGGGAGTGCGTTAAGCTGATCAGACGCGTCCGATTCGTTGATAGCTTCTACTTTGCTGCGGACAAGGCCTTATCAGAACTGCCAACGAAGGAGTTGTCGGCAAGCCGACAAAACAGTACAAGGGATAAAAATAAAGTTTGAAAATATTGTGATGGTAATTTGTGCATAATTTCTGAAGAAGATCATTGATTGAGCACAAAAATGGAAACAAGTAGCCGAGGTACACTATAATATTTAGGAGATAAATACTTCCTGTTTCGCATTTAGATTGTACCGTTGACATGTCTATTGCACAAAAGCACCCCTCTAAATGCGAAACGGGAAGTTTTTATCGACATTATAACCTGCTATTTTTTAAAGTTTTAAAAGAACTTATTTTATTGTGTAAACTTCAAACTTCTTCAAACCATGGCGAAACCACAGATAATAGCCTACCGTATGATTGTCGACCCGCGAATTCTCGACATTATGTTGTGAAACGACGAGAGGGGTGGTTGATCACTTCCGGTCTGTTCACGATGTTTGTTTACAGTAGGCCCAGTAGAGATATTTTTATTTAGCGCTTCCTTGCATTTTTAAATGTGGCATCATCTGGTTTAATGGAAACGAGACTTGGAAGCAATGTTCGAGGTAAGAATAAAATATCTTATATTTTTGGTATTTGATTTTGTTATTATGTTTTAAGTATTACACGTCTTGAAACACTCCAAACGTGTAGCCTAGTAAAGGCAAAAGTTAACAGCTATGACCTACTTTTAAACATCGGCGAACAAGAGTTTTCAATTCAGTAAGTTTTGAAATAATTAATTTTTTTTATTTTTATCAATTGTATGTCCAACTTGTAGAATTCTTCATTCTGGAAAGAAGAAGATAATAGTAAAAGTAAAATCAATGTCGATGGTGTATAATTTTTAATTTATCACTGTCATGACTGTGTAAATACATGTACAGTACAGCTTGGAATTAATAATAATAATGCTGTGCTGACTATATATGCTTTTACATGATATATTTGTTTTTAAATCTTTTGTATTTTCAGTAGTATGGTAGACCTGCCTTTTGTTTGCTACCTAGGGGGAATGTCAGCTTGTGAAGCAAATATATTTCATGTTGATTTATTTAAATAAATATTATGATACTGATATATTCATAACTAATTTTATTTTATTTTATGTTGTATTTACTGTACTTACTAATTTTATCTCGGGGTGGGGGTGGGGTGGAGGGTTATTATAGATATTATACTGATACATTGATGATTAATTTTATGTAGATATACCTGTTTATATATTTTTTTTGGGGTGGGGGCGGGGTATTATTATTTTCATTTTATTTTTTCGTTAAATACCCCCTCGAATCAATCAGTAATCTAGAAAAGTTGAAATTCAACGGAATTGCCTCCATTTTCAAAACGGGGGTAAATCTTTAAAATCTATCTTGTCCTACAATTCTTATTCGATTTTCACTATCTTTATATTTTTGAAAACCATTCACTATTAGCAATCGATCAGCGGGATTGGAATTTTGATATTTGACCTAGCTGGTTTGTATTAGTGATGTCATAAAATTGATTTTTTTTCTTAAAAAAACGTGTCGATCTTTGAAATCAGGTAAAATGTTGATGGTAAACGATTAACTAAGCCATATGGTGCTTATTCTGAACGTTTTATCACAGTCGGTGAGTAAACATAGGTTATGTGCATTTTATTTATTTTATTTTTTTCTAAAAAGCAGGAAATTTTACCCGTCTGAAATGTTTTTCTATATAAGATAGTGAGTTTTTGACAGTTTTTTTTTTAAAAAAAAATTCTTTAAGATCCTTCAAAAGACAACAGGACTAGAAATTAACGTATAAGTGTGTGATTGGGTTGTATAAAAACTATCAAACCTGTTTCGAGAACAGGTTTAGTTATAACTATTTTTGTTTTATTTGGTTTTTTTATATGTAAGTTTCGAATAGGTTGATTGTATTATATCATTATTGATTCTGATTATGCATAGTTGAAGTAACTATTTAATTTTCTGTATTTCAAACATCTAAGAAAAACAATAAAATCTATAACTATTTTTGTTTTATTTGATTTTTTTATATGTAAGTTTCGAATAGGTTGATTGTATTATATTATTATTGATTCTGATTATGCATAGTTGAAGTAATTATTTAATTTTCTGTATTTCAAACATCTAAAAAAAACAATAAAAGCTATGTGTAATATGTTTGTATGGTTAGGTTGAAAATTTCACCTATTTCTCGAAAAAGGGATCTGCCAGTTGGCGTTACAGTAACTCAGTCAATTCTGCTCCGATTTTGTTAAAGTTGGTGTTGCTACAATGCTGATATGCATATCTTTCGGGAAATAAGGTTCTGGAAAAAATATAGCTCCCGTCGCGGTTTAAAGATATGGATTTACTGTTCAATGTAAGTACATGTAAATTAATTAACACACAATTTTATTGCTAGTTCTTGTTCAGACAAAAACAGTTCGTGCTCTGTCCACACTGCCTATAGACATATTTACAAATATTTTATGATGGCTGAAAATGGTTTTGATTAATTTATTACTGGTTTTCTACTGTTTTATGTATTTCAGGGATTTTCTTGGATAATAGATTAAGTTTAAAATAGTGTGATGGTCTTTTGTGCAGAATTTCTTAAAGATATTTGTCAATAAAGATTTGAGTTGAGGAAGGTCATTGAGCACAAAAATAAAAAAAAAACTATTTATACGCAGTTAATCGCCTTGCTAAAACAGAGGAGTGCTATAACTTTCCAATCGACATTGACTACAACTATAATATATCCCCCCCACTCAATTTTATAACCATTTAAACGTTTGTGTCCTCTCTTTTAGTACACAGAATTATGTAAGATTGTAATATGTAAGATTGTGGGGATCACGTGGCTAAGTGGGTAAGACGCTGGCTCGCTAGCCTGGAGGTCGGGTGTTCGATCCCTGCATTGGCCGAGAAAGTTCATCCAGATTTTCCGGCGTGATTTCCCCTTGTCAGTGATGCAGGATGGAGGGCCTGACAAGGACAGCTGTCTAGTCGTTCGGATGGGACGAAAAACCGAGGCCCCGTGTACATATTGGCGTGCACGTAAAAGATCCCTTGCCTTGACAGTTGGAATTCGATATAAGAGTAGGCCGTAGTGCCGCTGCCCGGGCAAAATTTCCCTCATAGCACACTGTATGGCGTATGCCCGTCTTCATTAGCCCAGTTTAGGAGCAGAACAGTAGGACGTTAACCCCCATTTCATTTCATTTCATTTCATGTAAGATTGTGGCACAAAACCCGAAAGAACAGCTTGGCTTAGTAGTAAACAGTGATAGTACAGAAAGTTTAAATACTTTTTTTTATTTCTAACATTACTATAAATTTATAACAGCCATTATAGGAGGGTATTTAACAAAACTGTGTTTCTCCCAGGAACTGTCGTATTTCATGATGATTTTACTGGTAATACATTAGATAAAAATAAGTGGTATCACGAAGTCACAGCTAATGGTGGAGGGGTAAGTAAAATACAACTTGTCTACAAACATTGTAATGCACCACAGACGTCAGACGATTTTCATCCTAGTGAAGTTTCACGACAAATCGGCGCCACTGATAGAATTTGCCTTGTTTCCGAGAATGATATGAATAAAAACGCTTACCGCTATAATTGATTTTAACCAATGAAAACTAATATTGGTAACGCGCGAGGCAAATACAATTCCCATGGTAAAATAATAAAACAACAAACTAGGCATGGATACGATTCAACTCTTCGTCTCTTTATTAACGAAATTAGACTGGCATATGTATCCAAACAAAGGGCGATAACTCATAATTTGATATTCAATATAGATAGGTGATATATTTTTTCATTAATTGCTTTAAATGATCTACCAGTCAATGTATTATTCGGGTTTCATAATGTCTTCTTGTTACTGAATTGTTATTGAATCTATCATTGACCCCTATGCGATTGATAACAGTTTCTTCTAATATAATAGATAAATAGATTTTGCAATTCTTTAAAATACTTTATTTTCAGAATGGCGAATTTCAAGTGTATACACCAGAGGCAGCTAATACTTTTATCAGAAATGGTGTGCTATATCTTAAACCTGTAAGTATAAATATTATGTATAAGTATAAAAGTTTATATATGTTTGCTAGTCAACAATTTTTGTTGAAACTTTTCATGAATCTGTTTTCTAGAAACACTGATACTGCTTCTTATTTTTAATATATTGAAATACTACATGGTAAATATAAGCATTTTTCTTATTGAACTTATTAAACTATTAGTCCGGGAGCCCAGTGAGATTTAATCAAAATATTGAGTCCAAAAGGTTTGAGGTCTACAGCACATATTTTACCCCTAGATCATTTTGGAAAGCCAAGTCTTAAGCTTTTTAACCTGTGCATATACCTGGGAGCGCTCCCCTTAACCCTCCCAAATTTAATTGGAGTTCAAATCCAATGTCCATCCTCAATTTTCTTGCAAAGGTTTCATACTTAACACTAAGAATTCACAATGTTGTGCTAATGCTACTTAAGAGCTTAATTAATTAGCACTAATTAGTGACCGTAATTAAAATTTAGAGTCCATAACTGAAACAAAGCCTAAAAGCTAGCTAACCAAGTCATGAAACCAAAAATATCAATTAAGAGCAACATAAGTTAAACAAACTTTGCTTAAGACTCGTTCAAAGGTGACAACGTTCAAAGGTCACTAATTAATGACTGAAACCAAGCCAGGAAACCAAAACTATCACTTAAGAGCGACAAAAGTTGAACAAATCTTGCTTAAGAGTGGTTCAAATGTGACAAGGGTCAAAGGTCAAATTTGGGTCACATAATGAGGTTTGAGTGGATATGATTAAATTGTCTTGTCAGGGATTGTTTTTTTTTTCTAACACCATTTCTATAAGTTTCACTGCACAAAATGACTGCTCAAAAGCATGAAATGCTGTGCTAATGCTACTTACGAGCTAATTAATTGGCACTAATTTGTGACCATAGCTGAAACAAAGCCTAAAAGCTAGCTACCCAAGTCAGGAAGCCAAATATATCACTTAAGAGCGACAAAAATTGAACAAACTTGGCTTAAGACTGGTGACAAAGGTCATATTTTTGGCCACTTTATGACCGATCAATCAATCAAATTGATTATCTCTGTTGATCCTAAACATAAAATCTTACATTATGCATCTTTAGTCATTCAAATATTTTATATTTTCCAGACACTTACATCCGATAAATTTGGTAAAGAATTTTTGCGTAGTGGAACCTTAGACCTCAATGGTACGTATTTTGATTCCATTTTTTTTACACCCGTTTATTCTTTTTAAAAAATGATTTTAGGATATAGTGTTGAAGGAAATCCATGTCTACTTTGTCTGTCATGTTCTGGCACAAATTTTTTAAAGCAAATAAATGTTTTCAGCTCAGTGGGGTTGCTGTACTGCCAGTTGGGAAAATGGTTGTCTCAGAGAAGGAAGTCAAAGTAATATACCACCAATTATGTCATCTAAAATCTACTCAAAAGCCAGCATCAGACATGGTAGAGTCGATGTCGTCGCTCAAATACCAAAAGGCGATTGGCTATGGCCTGGTAAGTAAATACAGATTTGGCGTCTGAACTTGAATCAGAGCTCTGTTTGTTCAATACAAGATAGAGAATGTAATATGTAGCAATAGATTCGGACTACGGAAAGTTTTGCGCTGCTGGTCATATGCATTCTAACTCCACACCCATGCTAAAAGCAATGACGGCATCGTGTACAACAGATCCCCCCCCCCCCCCCCCCGCACACAAGCATCAGCTAAATATCTCAATTTGGACGGTCCCTTTTGTTTTTCTCTTGTATAATGGAACTTTATTGTCTACGCTTTCTCGACGAATACTGGTCTTTGGTTCGTCAGATGATCGAGTACAATAGAGAAAATATGGTATAGCCTGCTCGACAATATTGTATAATATTATAGTCTGGAGGTTCAAGATTAACTGGAAATCAGGATCCGGTATAGGAAAATACATTTACATTTACTATGACCTATATGTACTGTTAATTATTTATAATAATCTTTACTTCAGCAATATGGATGCTTCCTCAAGGTACAAAATATGGTTACTGGCCCAAGTCAGGTGAAATTGACATTATGGAATCACGTGGTAAGTTTTAAATTTTCAAAATAATACTTATATATCATCAACGCCAATGAATCACGAATTAAAGAAAACAACATCTGTTTGTCGTTAGATCATGAAATGATATAGATAGGAATTCTTGCTCAGAATTTAGTTTACCAAAGTATTTTACTGTAAATGCAGATTTGTACTTTAACTTTAAATTTTTTAAATGATAAATGTTCTTTAAAATTGCTACAATATTAAATCTACAAATAAAATGTGTTAGATTTAAACTTTTCTCAGAATTTAGTTTACCAAAGTATTTTACTGTAAGTGCAGATTTGCACTTTAACTTTAAAATTTTTGAATGATAAATGTTCTTTAAGATTGCTACAATATTAAATCTACAAATAAAATGTGTTAGATTTAAACGTTGTAACAAAGATAAATGTTCTTTAACATTTCTACAATGATAAAATGGGTTTTTTTAAACTTTGCTACAATGATAAATGTTCTTCAATGTTTCGACTGATAAATAAATGTTTTTTTAAAACTTTGCTACAATGATTAATGTTCTTTAACTTTTCTACAATGATAAAATGTTTTAATCCTTGCTACAATGATAAATGATCTTCAACTTTGCTACAATGACAAATAATCTTCAACTTTGCTATAATGTAAAATGTTTCTTAGTTAAGCTACAACGACAAATGTTTATTGAAAAAGCTGGTCAACAATAATAAATGGTTCTAAAACTTTGCTATAATGAAAAATGGTTCTTAAACTTTGCTATAATGAAAAATGGTTTTAAAACTTTGCTATAATGAAAAATGGTTCTTAAACTTTGCTAAAATGAAAAATGTTTCTCGGTTGAGCTAAAACCTCAAATATTTATTATTAACTGAGCTACATATCTGTTCTACAATTATAAATGATATTTTTGTAGGTAACGTACTGTTGAACTCTGGTGGAAGTCCCCAAGGTGCAGCTAGAGTTCTATCAACAATTCATCTTGGTACAGATGCTGGTGGTGGTCATAGACATCATGGTGATGCCAAGTAAGATGTTTTATATAAACAATAAATGAACCTTAGTTTACAAAGATGATCCCAACATTACGTCAGTTCGCGAAAACCTATCCCTGTTTGGTGTATAAATGGCAATGTTAATTTAATACTTAACATATTAGTTGTAATACAGTTTGCTTCCAAGGTGATCGGTAAAGATGTACTATGAAAGGCTAAAATGTATTAACAGCAGAAGATTATTATCTTTTACAAGGCACATTGTTTCGACGGTAATTTTGTATAGTTTTAAAACAAAGGTTCATGCGCAATGATTACATATCTCTTTAACTGGATAACTGAACATACCACCTTTTTTTAGCCACATCTTTAAATATACACATGCGCATTAATGTCTTGCAGAGTGGCTCCAAATGGTAAAACCTGGGCTGATGATTTTCATACTTACAGTTTAGACTGGACAGAGGATCATATCAAGTAGGTTTATTAAAGGTCTTTTAAAAACGAATGAACTTTATTGTAATTATCAAGTTTAGAAACCCCAATAAATCTGTGAAAAATTGTATACATTTTAGAAGAGAAGTTGTTCGTATTATTATTGGTTCTTTTATTGCAGCTTAAAATCAGGAAAATTATAACATTACACGTTTACTGCGACATTGAATGTGATACATGTTTATCACCCAATAACACATTCTACAGTAGATATCGCTTGTGTTATAACTTTCATAATCTACTGAGCGATATCTCCTTTGGGTTTTTTTCCGTCTTTTGGGTACTTTTTTTATGTGGCATGTTAATTTATTTGGTATATAAACTATTTTTATGAGTATTTATACATTTGATAATGTTCGTTTAAAAGAAACTTGTATATTTGTTTCACAGAACGATGATTGATAAACAGCCTGTTCTAGCCTGGAACACACCACCAGAAGGTTATTTTAAGCATGAAAATTTGGGAGGTAGTAATATCTGGTCGAGTGGTGGAAAAGATGCTCCTTTTGATACTAATGTAAGACTTTTCGAATAAATCATAGATTTATAGAAACTATATAACGCATTATGATATTGAATTCTTTAGTTAAAGTTATTTGGATGTAGGCGTTATTCAAATGATTTCATGCAAACAACTTTCAAACAGAAATAGCATCTTCAGTATCTGGTTGTGAAATTTCCTGTATATCTCTTTTGGCAAATATGGAACAATTCGTAATTTGGACAGAAAAAGCAGGCAAATATGGAACAATCCGTAATTTGGACAGAAAAAGCAGGGCCCTTATTCACGAAAACTTAAACTAAGATAAAATCGAAATTTTGATAAATACTGCAACTTCATTGGATATATGCAAATTGATTTTACTGGTCAGCCAATCGAATTGCAGTATTTCTTAAAATTTCGATTTTATCTTAGTTTAAGTTTTCGTGAATACGGGCCCAGAGCTGTATTCGGCTTGGCGGAAGTATCTCAGGGGTTTGGCTGATCCAGTTGTTTAATGCTTTAGATCATAAGCTCTGTCACTGAGTCAAGTGGCGTGGTTTCGATCCCAAGCTGGCAAGTATATATGGTTGCCTACCCAACAACGTGGGAATTATATCATATGTTAGACCCTCAATGGCCTATAGGTTAGTTTGTGTCTAGTGGAGGTTAACTATCTCCACGCCCTCTAACTCCCCCTCTCTGTCTCTAAAACCCCTGAAGTATGTTTTACACAAAAATGTGTTAACAGAAACAACGTTTACATTATTTTTAACAAAGATTCGACTACTTATGTATTATTTCTATTTTCAGTTTGCTTTAATATTAAGTGTAGCTGTTGGTGGAGATAGAGGTTACTTTCCTGATGATTGGAATAATGGTGCTAATGGCGCGAAACCATGGACAAATTTTGCTTCAACCGCCATGACGGATTTCTGGAACAACCGTCAACAATGGCAGAAAACATGGCATGGCGATGATGTAGCCATGAAAATTAAAAGTGTCACCATGACGCAATACTAAACGCTTACATATCATTTGAAAATAAAACAAATATGCATTGGGTGTTGTGTGTATGTCTTATTTGTTTGGAAAAATACATTGAAATGTTTGATAAGCTACAACAATAATAAATGGTTATATTTGAACATGGACATTTATTTGTTATACAACTATGGACCATTAATACAGTCACCAAGCAGTTTCTTTCTGTGATAATGCGTTTTACATTTTCCAAATCTCGAAATTATACAGTAAGATTTCACTTTTATTTCAATGTGGATTAAATAATTATATGTATGTGTTAATAACTTAATATGGTATGCATGATATGGTATTTGTACTCGAAATTTATGTTCCTTCCAGTAACTGTATGGCCAAAATGTTACATAAATCATTAATTAGACATTTATTCACATGCCTGCCAAGTCCATAATCAACTCTCTAGGCCACACTATTCGTTAAACGGCTATAACTCCGCTCAGAATGAAGTAATTTAAACTATTATAGCGAGGACTGCCAAGGCCTTTATCTAAATCTCACATAAAACATGTTTTTAAGTTACAAGTTTAGATTAATGACCATTTGATTGATAGATCTCATTTTACACCGGGGGTGTTAGATGACTTAGTGGTTAGCACGTGCGCGCTGTATCATTAAGCCTGTCATTGAGTCAACTGGCGTGGTTTCCAATCCTCGGTTGTACGTGACAAGGAGTAGGGTCGCCTGTCCAACCTCGTGGGTTTTTTCTCCGGTTCCTCCGGTTTCCTCCCACTGCTAAAGACTCCTACGCGGAAGCGAATTATGGAAATAAAATTGAACCATGTTAGTCCCGAAATGACCTAATTTGTGTCGAGTGGACGTTAAACCCCATTTCTCTTGTCTGAAATTCTTATCAACATTGCTTACATTTTACAACCTGGTTTTACTTTCCAAACAAAGATTGATGTTTAAAATCTTTAAGTTGTGGAAGTCATTCTGTCGAATAAGTGGACTTTTTAAAAACATATCGTATCGACATTGCTTACATTTGACATCCTGGTTTTAACCCTATGAAGTAAAGACTGGCTTTAATATGTTCAATCGGCGCCGAATTGCAGCCGAATTTTATTCGGCCGAATGAGTGGACTTCACTTGAAGAATTCTTTGCCCGATTCCCCAGTCGATTGCATCATCTTTCACGTCACATGATTAAACATGGCCGCGATCATGTCTTCAAATGGTCATGTGACTTCTCGACATCATCGGTGCTTTGCGAATGAATTCTAAAAATCGGGCAAATGCTTTGGCGAATCCGTCACACTAGGCAATATATGTCATTCGGCCGAGTCCGAATATATCAAACATGTTTAATTCGGGCGAAACGAAATTTGGCCGAATTACACTGGACACACTCGGCGAATTTCAGCGGCGATTGATTCGGCCGATTGATTCGACTTGTGTGTCCACCGCTTAAAGTTACAGATAAAACGTCATCACAGATAGCTCAATCAATCAGTGGCTTAGTCGCTTACACATAAAATTCGTGTCTGCGAATCTGACCTTCGTTTGACAACCTGCTACAACTCCCAAACAAATCATTGTCTGTAAATATGCTATCATTACAGATAAAACAACAGATTACATTTAATGTGCAGATAGAGCAATTATCATGGACAGGGCCGCCCCCTAAATTGAACCGAGTAAAGCCAAATTTTATTTTCACACTGTTTTTTGTTTAACAGTTTAAGTATGTTTGATATGTATTGTATTGTGTTTTTCGTGTTTCGGGGTAGGGTGGGTGGTGTAGCTTACAGACTAAAGGACTATTTCTGGAGGCGTGGATTTAGAAGACGAGGCCATACTGGACAGATGAGATAAACTATATTGATCAGGTTTATGAACTCGTCATACAAAGAGTGACATAGGGGGCTTTAGGAGAGCCACGGTGGCTTAGTGAGTAGGACGTTTGCTTGTTAACGTAGAGTCCCCATGTTCGATCCCAGCGTTGACCGAGAAAGTTCATCGTTCGGAGGATACAAAATACCGAGGTTACGTTTACAACATTGCCGTGCACGTAATGGAACCTTGAAAGTTGGAATTGGGAGTAAACCGGAGTGCCGCTGTCGAGGTATATGCCAAACTGCACGAAGCGATCCATCTACGTCATACGTCATTATGATCACTGCCCCAATTAGCCGCCATTTAAAACTCCCACGTGATCATTTTGGGGAGGGACTTATCGGCCGGACTAACGCTTTGTGTACACAACAGAGTAAAAATAACCCGAGCACGCACGTGTTTTATGTAAACACGTGTCTTTAGCAAAATGTAAACTTCTGCCAATCCGGTAAAAGCGATATATAATATGTACTAGTGGGTAATATTGCAATAAATTCTTTGCCATTGTAAACTGTCTTTAGAGGTTCAATCTGATATTTTTTCAAAACAAGGTTAGATACTCCTAAATTTGTCTTCGCAAACAAAACCGCCTCTGCGAAATTACCTTTTATGGGCGCCGCCATATTGAATAATTAGAGGACTATTTTGTGATTCGGCTTTGATTAGTTTGACATCTTTCATACTCACAGCGGCTAAATAAACATATTTAATTTCATTCAATATGACAATAGAAGAGAAATAAATACTTCTAAAAAATTACTAAAAGCATTAAAATGTCGGGTAATTAGCTTAGGGCCTGTTCTCAGGCGGAGCTAGCTGTAGACAGGCAGCCTAAGTTTGGGATGGGCATATGCCCGTCTTTATTAACAAAGTAGCTGCTGAACAGCAGGACATTAAACCCCATTTCATTTCGGGGGCTGTAGAAATAATAAGCACAGTCCGCCCCGTGCACCACAACAGCTGGCACCTTATATATTTCAACAATAACGCTTAGTCTTTAACGGTAAACATATAAAGTGGTGCCGTTATATAACATCTTTAAATAGGTCAAACTTTAACTGATAATGCTCGCAGTCAATATATAGGATTTGTGATACTGCGAGGGTTTCTTATCGCCATTTTAAAACACAGATCACAGTTCGCCTCGTGCACGGCAACAGGTGGCATCATAGATATTTCACAATAGCTTACAAATATTCCACGCCTTTAAAAAAAACTATAGCGATGTCATTACACGACATCTTTAAATTGGACATACTTAACTGATAATGCTCGCGTTCAAAATATAAGATTCGGGATTTCTTAGCAACACTTTAAAAGACAGCCCAATAGTCTAGTGGCAACCAAAAGGTTAACAACCAAAATGTTAACTCTACTATATGTATTGGTGAGTTTGGTGACTGTATCTAAGTGTTTTATTCCATCAACTCGGCCACGAATAGAGAAAGATCAACATGGTCATATATCATTCTTTCTACACGATGAACCTGGTGGTCTGGTGGACATGGTGATAACGATGCACGTTCTGAATGACTTTCACGTCGGAAAGGCAATTAAAAATCAAGGTATTAATTGGTTTTACCCTTTTATTAATCTCTTTATTGGATGGGTGGAGTATGACCTTCTATCAGACAGCATTAGCCTTCTGTAATATAAACGTTCGTTTCAGTAAAGCTTAATTGACTCTTTAACAAATCACTAGTTTATAGACAATGGTGCCAATCCAAGCGGATACTATAAAGTATTGAGACAAGGGCCGTGGGTAGATTTTTCTTTATTTCTATATACAATTCTGAATTTTGTTTGAAAAAAGTTAGAGTTGTGAAAATGCTGGATTTGTGAATTTCAGAGAGCAATGAATGGTACTACAGAACAAGTCATTATAACTTGAAGGACGATGACGTATTACATTACAAAATTAGTTATATTTTAAACCAGGGTCTTGCACAGAGAATCTATATTGATTCGGTACAGTTTAATACAAGTAAGAATACCATATACGATGTCATCAATCTTAATCAATCTGCAATATACACTTTATTATTATTTCTGGGGGAGTCACGGTGACTCGGTGCGTAAGGCACAGGCGCACTAACCAAGAGTTCCGGGGTTCGACCCCAGTGTTGCTCGAGAATGTTTCTCAGGATTTTGCTGCGTGGGTTTCTTTCACCGGTGGCTCAGGAAGGAGGGCCTTTCCAGAAAAGTTTTCCTCACAGTACACGGCAGACATTAAACAAATCACATTTTATTTAATATTCATTCATTCTTTCTGGCTTATTTAATGTTAGCTATTCTTAAAACACACACATTCTACGGACCATCAAAATATGTCATGTTTTGTAAAAAAAAATACACATGGGAACACATCAAAAGGATATCCTTGGATATCCTTGTATTATTTCGGAATATTTCTACACTTTTCAATTTTAGAAACCACCGTGACGCCAATACATCATCCTGTAGATAAAAGAGCAGCTGTTGTATTATACGATGATTTTAGTGGTAATACATTAGATTTTAATAAATGGTACTTTGAAGTATCAGCCAGTGGAGGTGGGGTACGTGTAATCTTAATACAAACGAAATTATTCATATGTTTGACCTGTAAAATAAATGAATATTCATAAAAAATTCGTATTACTTCGGAAATTTCTCAATTTGATCAGTGGAAGCCATGATGGATCAGTGAGTAAGGCACTCGCTCACTATCCAGGAGGTCACTGGTTCGATCCTGACGTTAGCCGAAAAAGAACTTCGGGATTTTTACGCGTAATTTCCGTGGTCAGTGGTGCAGGGCGAAGGGCTTGGCAAGGAAGCCTGCCCAGTTTGCGTGTACACGTTGTCGTGCACGTTAATGAACCCCAGACAGTTGGAAATCGGGTAAAAGTCCCTCATTAGCACACTGTACAGCGTACGCTGGTCTTCATGAGCAAGTTGGTGTAGAACGACAGCAAGTTAATCCATATAGTCTTTCCAAGAAAGTAAAGAATAATGAGTGCAGCTGAACGTATTGAAATGTTATTTGTTCAATTATTTGTTTAGAATGGCGAGTTTCAAGTATATTGTCCCGAGAAGTCAAACACGTTTATAAAGAACGGAATGCTGTATTTAAAACCAGTAAGTAAATTGCCTTTAGATATTACAAAACTTAATTATAATATATTGTTGGTGGTAGTTCATACAGTATAATTTTCAGTCCCTTTGTTAAACCAATTTAGGTCAAAATAAAGTATTGATTTGGAACGTGTTTTCTTTTTGTTCGAATTGATATCAATTTTAACCTTGCCAGTAGATGTATTGGATATTATTTTCACAATGATCACTGTCTATTTCCAGACCTTCACAGCGGACAGATTTGGTGAAAACTTTTTACATCAAGGAACACTTGATCTTAAAGGTGCGATACATCAATAAAATTAAACTTACCCTAGGTCAATTAAACAAAAGCTTCTTAATATAAAAATGAAAGAAAAATACTAAATTATGTTCTGGCTTTAACCTAATTAAAACACAGCTCCTTTTTCGTTGTACTTGCCTTCACTACATCAGGATTTCGAAGAGGTGTTAAATAACCCACCTTCTTGTTGATAGATATGGTCAATCAAATGGTCTGTTGTGTCGAGTTCTGCGGAACTTCGGGTCGAGATTCGCAGCGACAGAAAACAAAACAGCAAAATTTCTGAAGCGGAACACCAACGCTGATTGGTTAATCGAATGATGTCAAAGAGTCAAAAGTTGTTCGTATGGCCCAGGCCGCAACCTGCCACTAGAGCCGGTCAGATCTTCATGTCGTGGAGACTGTCGAAAGTATAAATTAACGACATAACAAAACTTTAATGTGGCCAGTTTATTTGTGTAAATAATAATCGGTGCTTTTTTATATAAATTTTAGCATTATGGAACAGTTGTACTAACCCTAGTGAAAATGGTTGTTATCGACTGGGAAGTCAGAATAAAATACCCCCTATTATGTCGTCTAAACTATTCTCTAAAGCGACAATTACATACGGTCGAGTTGAAATCTTGGCTAAAATTCCTAAGGGTGACTGGATCTGGCCAGGTAAATGCTTCTCTGTTCAGAAAGGATGTAACAACATTTGGGATACTTAAAATTATATTTACTCTTTTTAATACCACTTTCCATTTAATTGAATTACCTTACTTAACAAACTTGTTGCCTGTTTTCGTTTGTCTAGTGGGTGCACATACGTAGGACGTTAAACCCGATGTCATACATTCATTAATGCATTACTGTTGTATGTGCATAGCAAATGCGCAAATGTGGTTTGCGCGCGTGTAATTATATAAAAAAGATAATCTCTTAAAATACGCCCACATAGCTAATATAGATTGATAGCTACACGGCAAACACATATATAGAAAAAAACATATCATACAGAGAAGATATTGATTTTAAAAAATAAAGAAATAACGAAATGTGCCTTCTGTGGTTCAGGAAGGGATTATTTTTTGGGGGAATATTTCAATTAATAGCCAACATCAAAAAGGAAATGAAATGGAGTTTAACGTCCTGCACCAAATGTGTTTATTATATCAGGATAAACTTCAATAACACTTATGACGTGTTATCCCAGCCTTCTTATTTTATTTTATCTCTTTCTATGTGAAAGCATTTTGGTTACTTCCACCTGGTGTGGGTAAATATGGTTATTGGCCGAAATCCGGAGAAATTGATATTATGGAATCACGTGGTAAGTAGAATCAAACACCTATCCAGAAATTGGGGAGATCTCTTATTCATTTTCATCATCTGTACATAAATAATATTTCCCCAATTCCTTCAAATATTTGTAAATCTGATAGTCTTTTAGTTATCAGGTTGATGGAGATCCAATTCACCAACCAGGAGGTCACAGTTGCGACCGCGGATTTCCTAGTCTGGCATTGTCGGATTTGAGGGACATATTCTTTTTACCTCAGTACACTCGACAGTAGTTTTATTTTCTCTAACATTTTTGTCGGAAAATATAAGTACTTCGACCCCTATGCTCCCCAGTGTACCACCCATCCTTTAAGCCAATCTTCCCGGAATCCTAGTTCTGTATTTACTTTAACAAGTATCGGGGGCACGGTACCAAACAGAAAGTACGTCACGAACCATAGTAACAACACTGACAATATTTGGATGCCGAGTAATGTCTGAAACATTGTTTATTACTTAATTCAGGTAACTTGCATCTTAAAGACGGTGGTGGAAATGCCCAGGGTGTTACACAAATAACGTCAACCATTCATTATGGTAAAAATTACTTTAGTGATGGTCACAGATATCAAGGCCATTGGAAGTAAGCAAGCGTTATTTTTATTCTTATTCGGTTTTCCTTTGGCTGTTTAAAACCTTGCACCAGTTTGTCCACTACACTTTATTAAATTTTTAGAGTTTTCCGAGATTCTTTCCGAATTATCGCCCTTATTGTTAAAATTGTTTGACGTTCTAACTCATGGCGCCAACAAGCAGATTATCGCCATTCGAGGCCAGTACGTAGCAGGGCAGTGGGCGCTTACGGTTGGTCCCGGATCCATTAACTTGATTTGATATATATTTTGTATGTCAATGTCATTTGTCTAGTACGTACAAATTTAATTTTTATGTTGATTACTTTTAATCCTTAAAAAGTTTAGTCTCGGGATTTTATATTTTATCTACTCCGACATTTTAACATGGTCGCATATCAACCCGTCGTTCATATGTCTTTATTAGTAAAACAGAGGCTATATAATAAAAAAAAAATCCATTTATCTTTTAGGAATTCATATGTGTTGCTTATCTCACTGGAATGATAAAAGTCAAATTTTGGCTAGGAATGAATTATAAATACTAACAAAATCAGAGGCTTTGGGAAATATAAATCATCAACAAACGTTTTGGTTTCAACTAAACATCCGCTGGACGAAGTCGGTTACATCTCAATATTGCCTTTATCTACGGACCTAAAATAGCAATTCTATATAAAGTCATTAAGAATAGTTCTTTGGATCTCGATTGCATTTATAAATAAATAAAAAAAACAAATTTATTGAAATTATACAGCGCCAAAATCCATCTTGCACAGCTGCCCTGTGGCGCTTGTACAAAAGAAAATATATGATTATAAACACACAATATGAAAATATATTGTTACAATACAGCCCAGGCCCCCCCCACCCCCCAGTCGAATAAGCCCCCCCCCCCCCCCCCCCAAATCGAATTAGCCCCCCCCCCTAAATATTTTGCCAACAATAATGATTTCTTAGGAGCGTCCTTAGCCGGCCACATCCTCAGCCCCTCCAAAACATTCCGTAGCCCCACCAAATTTTATGAGCTGGCTACGGGCCCGATACAGCCAAAAAACGTAACAACAAATATATCTGGCATAATGCAGGAATAATATCATATTAAAGTATTTCCAATTTTATGTTGTATATTACTAATTCATGTTTGCTTTTTGTTCATCAGACTAGCGCCAAGTGGTACAACATGGGCTGATGATTTTCATATGTATACGCTTGATTGGACAAGAGACCACATTAGGTAAAACATTGACAGGGGTATAATAGTTGTTAGTGTTAGATATAAAACTAGTATAAAATCGATAATACTGCCTGGTATTGCTTGTATTTGTAAACTTAAGGCAGGGAGATAACTCTGCTATTAACACTCAGACTTTTCTGAATTTTTGTAGGGCGATTCATTACATCCTCCCCTGGAAAACACCATGATACCAGTAACACTTCGCTCTACGCTACAGTATGTAATACTACCGTGCCAAATTACAATTAGCAATCTGAGGTCAAATTGTTGACCCAATTGTTTCGCCAGATGAAATGAAATATAGCACCATCGTTGTCTCCGGGGAGATACTTTATTATAACCTGATGAAATTCAAACAACTTTGAAATAGTGGATTATTTGATGATTGACGTTTCTTTTTCTAGGATGGAAGTAGATGGCCAAGCTGTTTTATCGTGGAATACACCACCAGAAGGGTATTGGAAACATGAGGGCTTTACTGGTGATAATATCTGGGCAAACGGTGGTAAAGATGCTCCTTTTGATACCAATGTAAGTCCCTGTGTCTAGTATATAATCACTGTTAATATGTTTTCGTTGGTAAATTCTATTATATTCTTTCATAAATTCAACCTGATTACCACCAAAGTGACTTCGAGTAGATGAAACTTTACGGCCACATTTTAAATATATATTTATAGTAACACCCGGCACATTTTATCATTCGAGGTTTTCACATAGCTAACAATTTTGTGTGGTACGTTTGTATTTATTTATGGTTTGTTGAGTGAGATGCTGGCTTAGAAACAGAGAATCTGGGGTTGGCCGGGATTTTCCAGCGTGATTTCCCCCGGTTGGTGCAGAAAGGTAGGCGGTTAATTCCCATTCTATTTCAAGTGGCGTGGTTTCGATTCCCCTCCTGTATGTGACAAGAAGTAGGGTCGCCTGTCCAACCCCGTGGGATTTCTCCTGGTACCCCGGTTTTTTCACATTGCTAAAGACCCCTTCGCACCAAGCGAGTTATTCAAATAAAATTAATCCCGAAATCACATAGTTTGTTTTGAGTTGACGTTAAACCCTCTCTCTCATTGTGTATTTGTGTTAATATTTTTTTTTATCGTTTGTGTAACTGTCATCAAGAAATTTTCGTCAACTCATTTAAAACTATTCTCACACATTAATAAAGCATACTTTTTACTTCTAATTTTCAGTTTGGTTTAATATTAAACGTAGCTGTTGGGGGAAGTCGGGGATTTTTTAATGATGATTGGAATAATGGAGCAGATGGTAAGCCGTGGAAAGACAGTTCGCCCACAGCCATGATGGATTTCTGGACCAATCATCACCAATGGCAACATACATGGAATGGAGATGACGTAGCTTTGAAAATCAAATCTGTTAAAATGACTCAATATTAAAACAAACCATGGGAGATGCTCCTACTCCCCATCTGAAAATAAATAGATGACACATATTTTAATTGTATATTTATCTTTTGGAAAACATCCGGCAAATTCTTATCCGGCAAATGCTTATAATCGAACGTAGTTAAGTTTTTGATGTAATGAAGCTATACACCATGTTTCTTTACTCTCCCTTAACTAGATTCAAAGTTATCTTCTCCAAAAAAAATCAACCAATGTGACCCGTATGGGCAAAATGAGTCGCAATGGGGAAATTTTGAAAATTGAATTATTGTTATACTCACATTCTCCATCTCAATGCCTTCAAAATGATGTATGGTTGGTTTGAATCGTGCAAATATTGACCGAGCTGTCCGTTTGAAGCTATCCAATTCAGGAAAGTAGGGGATATTGAAATGCAAATACCTATGCAGGTTGTGATATGATAAATAGTCATGGACACTTGACATGCTTTAAGAGTATGTTCACAGATGAAGAACTCAGACAAAACGCAGATTTAAAAAAATGTAATTGTCCACTAAGTTTAATGGGTATTGATTCGTCGTCTGCAGTGCAAGAATAGAAAATTATTCAAATTCCTTACCAACATTTAAATTACAGTCGATATCAGATATATTGTTATAACTGTAATGGTGTTTGTTCGCGTCATTAATAATTCATTTAATGTATAACTTTAATCACGATACAAAAAATAGGATAATCCGACATAGTTTGGTAACCTCCCATCACCATTAGTCCATAATTACGAAACTAACACATTTGCTAATAAACGTATGGCGAAGTAAATATAATTGTGATTTTATCGATATATGTACGAAAGCAACAAATGAAACATAGCTTTCAATGCGTATGACGGGATTTTAAAACTGTAGTCTAATCTATTATTAATGCTCTTTTGTAATGCATTGTTGTTATTTTTATTGTTATCCTTCCTATTTATCACATAAAACAGTTTAATATAATATATTTGATCACCAAGTTATTGAAAAGAAGCATTGTAATGACTGTAAATGTTTATTTAATATCAATAGCGTAAAGTGCAACTACAGGTGGGGCAATACGTCATAATTTTAATGAATAACGTAAAAATCAAAGGGTGGATATAATCGACACCAGTACAGTGACTAGTGTGGGTGTACAACCAAATGTATGGAAACAAACCACAGAATGTAGTCTTTCTCTCTCTTTCTAAAACGGCCGGAATTTACGTCTTTTTCTATTGGAAAATAATATTTTGATACGTATATTGGTTTGAAATGTACATGTTGAGTTAAGCTAAATCCAGTTTGTGTTTCTCAATATTTCACATTTTGACGGTGAACATCGTACACGCCTTTTAGCAAAACGTTGTCACATGTTTTTTTTCTATCTGTCAAAGAGAGCGTTCAACCCAGCGAAAGTTTAATGTAGTTTAAGATTTATATATGCGCTTCTTAAATTCAGAGAACCGTGATTGGATTCTTCAACTCGACTAGAACAGAAGAAAACATTTGATAATGTGCTGGACTTAAAAGTTTGTTAAACCAAATCTGTCCACCCTATATTGTAAAAATGAATCAAATTTACATGGTTAGAGCAAACCATACTCGTAAAAAGAAGTCATAGCTTTAGGTTTGCAAGAGCTCCAATCAGACTGGACCTTTAGTGTTAAAACAGAACACAAACCACATTTTTTAAAAATAAAAGAAAAAAAAGTATTAAAAACAAAACACACTTTAACAAACAATACTTTATCTCAGCTATCCTCATTTATCTTGAATTTTTAGCGGTTAAAAATAACAACCACGATTAAATTTAAAAATTCAATGCCTGAAGTTGGCGAAATGTTTAAGTAGTAAAAACAAGTCATACCTGAAGAGACTTAAATAATCCCGAAGCCATATAGCCAGGCAGTTTAAGACTAGATTTGAGATGGATGTGTACGTTCCGGACAAAAGCACCAAATTTTTCCCAGGCCCCAAGTTCACAAAGCATTCTCAGACTTAAGTTGAGAATTCACTCAACTTTCAATCACTGCTTATGAGAAATATCTTGGTTCCAGAGACACAAAACTTTGCACATACTTTCTTATTGATACATTGAAACAACACAAGTTTTATAAAGGGCTATATATTAGTTAATATAATGTGAACAATGTTGAGTAAATTCTTAAACTTAAGTCTGAGAATGTTTTGTGGACTCGGGACCAGGTGCTATAATAATTTACTCATCTACCCGATTTGAGTCAATCTTTCGCGGATAAAAACAAACCATGATTTAGCTGGTAAAAACAAATAATACATGAACAGAAGTGGATAAAGCCTGTCATTACTATTTTAAATCATACATGAATTGGGGAGGTATATAGTTTATAGTTAAGGTGTTGGATAAAGCACGAGACTGAGGTTATGCTGGGGAAAGAAAGGCTGAAGAAAATAACCCGAGTGTTTTTTCTGAAGTCTTTCTTTCGGAGCATAACCGAAGTCGAGGACTTTATCTTGCATATAAACCGTCTATGTTTAAATGTACGTAAAATGAGAATATCCCAGAATTCCAGTAAGAAAAACCTTATATTATGTTTTCTAATGGAAAAAAACCTACCCTGGAAAAATAACCCGTTACAGGTTTAAAGGAAAACTTTCAGAAGAATTACCCCCCAATTCCCCGGTATAGAATTTACCCCAAAGATTTACCGTTAGAGTTTATTAGAGATAATAATAGGAAGCCAGACTTTAAAGTGGTGTAACAAAATCAAAGCAAAGAATTAAATGTGCACGTATAGACCGGAGGCTCAGCGCGGGGGGGGGGGGGGGGGGGGTCCATGAAATGGGCACAAAACCAGACCCAACTTTTCTAGAGTAAAATTTTGCGTAGAATACGAGGCCGAGTGGTAATCAGTCCGCCGTTGGGGCGTTTTCGAGATATTCGGGGTCAAAGGTCAAATGAGTTCATTTGCATTGAAAGTGAAGGCGCAGTCATTCTTGTATTATGAAAAGAAGCTGAAAATGATCGAAAGTAATCACAATTTCAATAAAATTGTAAACTTGCGAAATTCACCTTTAGTCTTAGTGACCCTGGAGGTCAAAAAGGTGAAATTTACCGTTTTTGCACTAGGAAGATTTAAAGCAATAAAATGTCAGCGTAAAATATAAAAACTAAAGCCAAACCTGTTCTAATTAATAATAGGAACATTTAAAATTTATCTTTAGGTGATCTTAGCACCGAACTTTTACGCAAAATTTTACTCTAGAAACGTTGGGCCTGGTTTTGTGCCCATTTGATGGACACCCCCCCCCCCCCCCGCGCTGAGCCTCCAGACTAGTAATATGCAAACCGCAATGAGTGTCGATCAATATTACTGAAAACAGTTTGCAGATATTCAGAAGGACTTATTTACGTGGCGTAAAAATTCAAACCAGTTAACAATGATTTAGGTCGATACGCATCACGTACCATTTACACATAGAACCCTAACCTAACTCTAAAACCTGTTTACCAACATAATGTAAAGTGAAATTGACTATCAGATTCTCTATCAGTTGATTAACTAATGTATTTTTTCAATCGAGAATACGTCAAAGTACAAATGGACTGTGTACAGGTGAAACAAAGTATAATAGGCTATCCAAATCTGTCACCAAATTAACTGAATCCATTATCAATATAATTCACTCTTTACAGGATCATTTGAAAAAGTGTGATTCCTTCATCTTTTTTTATTAGGAAAACCAGGTTCATTATTTTGTTATTGTCGACAGAACACTAAAAGCCAAATGGTCCTTAATTAATCTTTATAGAATGAGTTGAAAATATCGATCAAAATAAGATGAATGTTTTGTTATTAAGAACTGACACTAAAATGTAGCTCACATGCGAAACTTACGATGCCTGTCAACAATAAGCCCCGTCTGAGAACAGACACGAAGGTAGTCGACCGACACTTTTAATTTTCAAATCGACGATTTTAGTTAAAAACAACAAGTACACTTCGGAATTTGGAGACGTTGTTATTCTGCTTCGATTTAACAAAATTTAACATGTGTTCATTTAAGTCTTTGTCTGTATGGAAGATATAAAACGGATTGGAACCGCATTTGAAAATTTGGTGCCACGGTGGCTAAAAAGGTGAGACGCTGGCTCGCTAACCTGGAGTGGTGCAGGACGGAGGGCATGGCAATGACAGATGTGTAGTCGTTCGGATGGGACGCAAAACAGAGTAAGTCGTAGCGTCGCTGTCCGAACAAAATTTCCCTCATAGCATACTGTATGTCGTATATACCCGTATTTATTAGCCCAGTCGCCGCCGGAGCAGAACAATGGGACGTTAGAAAATAGTACGCTAAGTTTTGAATAGGGAGTAGAATGGGTAGTTCAGTGGGTAGTTCACTAACTAAGAGGTCCGAGGTTCGACCCCTTTGAAGGCCTAGAAAGTTCCACTTGTCAGTAGTGCTGAACAGGGCCTTGGCAAGGAAAAACCTCTACTCGTTCGTTAGGTCCTATCTACACGTATGCGTAAAAGACCCGCATGACAGTTGGAATCATAATGCATTGTACACCCATTATCCCGATTGCTGCAGTAGGACATTATTAGATTTTGTAAATGCAGCCATCGTTATTATTTTTTTCTTTTTTATTGTATACTTTCAGAACTCTAGTATAAATATATCTTTAATATACTTTTCCCACTTGTGCATCAATCGAATGAAATATCAGTCGAATACAATTATCCATACGGCACAATGATACCCGGCGGAAGTCCAATTGTCTTTAAATCAGATCATCCGTGCAATTAAGGTGCAGTGCGTATGTAATTAAATTTCGTTGGATTGATGCACTTTCATTATTCATATTTAATAATAATAGCCATCTGTCGACAGGACGGTCCCACACAGATCATCCGAACTATTAAAGTGCAGTTAATATGAAACTTAATTCCGTTGGATTGATGCACTTTCATTATTCATATTTGATAATAATAGCCATCTGTCGACAGGACGATCTCACACAGGTCATCCGAACTATTAAAGTGCAGTTAATATGAATCTAAATTCC